TTTCAGGTGATACTTGTGATAATTTGTCCCATTAACCACGAAATTCACTTTGATCACTTGGTTAAGGTGATCAAGTGATCACCTTAAGGTTAAGGTGGTGCCTATCAGGCTTCTCCTCTGGAGAAACTTCGACAGCATGTAGATATCTCTTTCCTCATCAAACTTCCACCCCTATTAATAATGGCTGTTGATGTTTCTTGGCTCAATTAATTATTACTATGAAAGTTGACAAATGACAATTTTCTGTCTTCTACAATTGTTAGTTGTCTTCTACAAGTCCATACTAAGAAAAATGTTCCTCTTTTCATTTATGTTTTAATTCATTCTTTCCATCATTATGGACTTCTAGATTTCTATTGTATTCATTGGGTTATAATCTATTACTATTATTTTGAGTCTCTAATTGTCCAAGATTTGATGAGTGGGAGCCCCTACCAGCTGTTTCCTGTCTTTTTTTTTTTTTTTTTAATAGACCTTGTTTTGTAGAGAGGTTTCCTGGTCACAGCAAAGTCGAGCAGCAAGTACAGAGTTCATATATAGTTAGCTGTTTCCTGTCTTCCAACCGGCCCCACACGTGTCCAACCGGCCCCACTATCAACCTCCTGAGTTGTTTGTTTTCTTACTGTTACCGAACCGAAGAGGGTCTCATCACACAGCGGAGTCCAGCACCAAGCTCCGAGTTCTGCTGTGGAGATGCTGAAGCAGTTTATTAGCAAGGCACTAAGCCAGGGGAGGAGCGAGCTAGCACTCGGAACCCGAACTCCCCGATGGTTTTTGATCAGGCACTTTTAAAGGCAGAGGTTGAAGGTTAGGGTTCAGGGGTCATGGGCAAAGCTGATTGGTTAGTTATTATGTAAATGTCAGTGGTTTTCCTTAGAAACTGATTAATTCCTCCCCCTGTCAGGTGATCTCAATGGGTAGAAGAACCAAGATTCTGCAAAATCTCTCGTATTGTGTGTCAGGGATGTTATCTTTGAAACAAAAGGCAGAAACTAGACATCTTGTTATGGTTTAAGTTATTATTGTCTTGTGCTTAACCAGCTACATTTTTCTATTATCTCTAGGAAATTGTACTTTTAAACATTTTTCCTGAGACTTTCTTTACAGGCAGGCCTTCGGCACATGACTACTATATTTTATAAATCTTTGACTATGAGTGACTAACACACTTTCTTAACCTTTGACTCTAAGCTACGTGACAACCAAAACAATTGAAGCATTTAGTTAAAGCCTATACCGACATCACTAGACTCTGCGATCTAACACCTAACATGTTTACTATTGACTGTCGCTTTCATTATTGTTCAGTTTTGAGTTCTTTATATGTTTTGGATAACAGTCCTTAATCTCCCTTCTGAAAGCTGGAGAACCGGAGAAGCCAGCGGTATAATAAGTTTAAGTTTGAAAGCCTGAGGATCAGGAACTCAGATGTCCCAGCATAGGATAGGAGAAGATGTACATCCCAACTCAAGAAGAGAAAGAGGGAATTAATTCATCCTTCTTCTGCCTTTCTGTTTTATTCCAGCTCTCAAGGGATTGGGTGATGTCTACCTACATTGCTGAGGGCGGATCTCTCTACTCAGTCTACTTATTCAAATGCTAATTAATCTCTTCTAGAAACACCCTCACAGCCACACCCAGAAATAATGTTTCACCAGGTATGTGGGCATCCCTTATGCTACTCAAGCTGACATATAAAAATAAACATCACATTTTCCCTTTGCCCAGAATATCCGTGTTTTTCTAAAATGGACTTATATCCCATCAACCTATATGGTCAATCTCAGCCTTGAAATTTTGCACATAAAATTTCTGTAAATTCTTCAGACGTGTTCCACTTGGCTCCACAGGAAGTATGAGCAATAAGTGGACTTTAGTGCTCGTAAGAATGGCAGGTCTGTCTTGTCTCCTATCTGCCTACTAGATTTTCCTACTGGAATGTATGAATGGAGATAAAGAAGGAGAGAGTGATGTCCACTAAGCTTTAACAGAACAACTTCATTCATTTGGATTCACCGTTGAGCTGTGCCTCCATCAACCACAAAGTCACTTCATCGCGGGCATCTGTGGCCTCATTTCCATGAGCTAATGCAGACCCCGTGTAGGAGCCCTGATTTTGGGGTGGGGATGGTGCACAGTCCTGGAGAATATGGGTGGAGGAGGAACCATGAACCTGGGCTCTGGTTACATGAACAGAGCTGACCCCTCTCATTTGAAAGGTGTCGTTGAGACCTTTCTTCCCACAGTCACCTCCAGGGCATATTAGAGACAACTGTCAGGGGCTTGAAGTGTTCTTGACTAGTGCATTTATGGGTCCCCAGAGCCTTGTACAAGACCACATCAAAGGCAATCTCAGGGAGGTTGTATGACGATAAACTTTTAGGCTGGAGAGATGAGTCGATTTACTAGGGAGGAGGGTGATTGTGGTGGAGATCACAGAAGGGGAGACTGTGGCTGCACTGGTTCTCAATTCTCAATCCAAATTCCCACAATTCAAACAATATTGAGCCTCTCAAAACATCTCGCTTGACTGCATGATGAAATTACTTTTGCTGACTGACCATGAATGAACTAGGAGACCTTGATGAAATTAAAAATGGCCAAGTTTTATTCAAGGGTCTTAGGATTTGTAAATCTAAAATGCTACCAGGTAACACCTGGAGTTTTAAAAAAAAAAAAATCAGAATTCTTATATTAAGAAGTATATTCTTGATTGTCCTGCATCCGTAGCTTCTGGATTGGTTCCAGATGTCCAGTGGCCCGGATAATTAATATCAGGTGGTCTGGACATGTGAACATTCTTTCCTAAGTTCTTCATTCTTTCCTAAGTTCTTCGAACAGTGATCTATAGGAATTTAGATATCTCCAGGCATGCACAACTGAGAAGCTCAAAAATTTAACTCATCAGGCTAAAGTAAAATAAAATCTATTCCTCATGCGTCAGCCCATTTGGTCTGAACCAGTGTGTCCGCTTGACGACACAGACTCCATTTTAAGTCAGCTTAGCTATACTTGTTTTCTTCACTCATTTCTCACTTTCGTACATCGGTGTGGAATGTGTATGCAAATTAAGTTCTTCATTAAAAAGTCCTCTACGTAAACCCCAAAGTAAAGACAGACGATTGTTACTTTATTTTTCTTGTAAAACACCGCATAATATTCCCCTGATGGATGTCGTACCAAATATTGTAAAATATGTCGTAATCCTGGATGGGAAGAACTTCTTATGTTTTAAAACACTACAAGATATAAAAACATATAGAGTGTCATTCCAACCAGTTGTTCATAGAATTTGAAAATTAGATTATGAATTTTCTGGAAAGAAATATTCTCAGACAGGTAAAAAAGGTAAGATTGGGAAAATAGACAAAATTACTTGCAATGTTAATTTTAAATCAAACCACGGTGTACATCTATGTCGATTAGAAGCAGTAAAGTACGTGGATGTATATCAGGTGAGCCGAAGCAAAATAAAAAGCTGGTCAATTCATAGTTGTACATTTATTGTGTGGCGAAGATAAAATTTCAAATCGATGCAAGTAAATGGAATATTTTAAAATAACACCTTACACAGGGCTATTAATTTGAAGTAAAATAGTTAGAGGCCAACTTCACAGCATTCATCAAACTATAAAGTGATCTGGGGTAGAATGATAAATATAAAAAAAGCTACAAAATTATTAGAAGAAAATATAGGGGAATATGTTTAAGCAAGTTGGTAAAGTGTCTTATAAAGGCGTATATGAAAAAGGTTTATGAATCAGATTCTATTCAAATAAAATCTTCATATTTTTGTGTGTGAGACTAAGCAAATGATAATGTAAATTGACGTGTTGTGAGGTACCATGGTTTTCTTGGTGGAATAATGAAGTCGGAAATATGGATGTCCATTTCGGGACAGTGGATGAGAACTGGAGATGCCAGCCTGGGAAACCCACTGATTTCTCAAGACCATCCCCCACCCGAAGGAACCAGAAAGAAATCACTGACTTGACGCCTGGGTAAGTAAAAGGGCCAAATGAGTCTGGCATATATTATTGATACAGAGAGTGAAGATGTTCTCAGATAGAGATAGGATAGCGAGAAGACAACCAGCCAGCACAAATAGGATCTTTGTATACCAATTTGGGAAAATTGGAGCACCCTAAAAGTGTCCTGTGAAAAATGGACTGCCTCCATTTTGATAATAAAAAGGGAGAAGGGGAAAGGAACATTTTGGCTACTGAGAGGAACATAAGCTATATAAGTACAAATAATAAAAAAAAGTAAATTAAAATCATATAATGTGATAAGTGTCGCCACAACGGCAATCACATTACAACATATAATTTTATTAAAGTAACATTTGTAGACCTTAAATTTACAAAATGTTATATGTCAAATACACTCGATTAAAAAAAAAACAGAAAATTAACGTTCGGCAAGCACCTAGAAAAACTGATTCAATAATTCCTTTTTACTTTTGAAAGGAGAAATTCATCAGTTTCTAACGTAATTTTCCAAAACCAAAAGTCTAAGTTCTTGCCTTCTATTGGTTGACATTTTGAATATACTGTCAAGTGTAGAGAGCAATTTTCTGTTGAGCGGAGTTGGTGCGACAAAGTTAAAATACTCCGGTGGTAATGAGGTGTGAAACCACGCCCCTTCTCCCAGCATGCCCCGCCCGACCACGGCAGGGCCCGCCCCTTCCCTCCGATGACCCGCCCCTTCCCCCTCATCGGTCCCGCCCACTAGTATTTAAACCCACCCCGTCCTGGCTCGGCGCACAGCGTCTCCGAGGAGATCCGCGACTGGACGGTTTCGTCTGCGGTGCTCGTGCCTGTTGCTTACAGCGTCCTGCGACCTGGAAGCGAAATTCGAGGACAGGACAGAACAGTTGGTAAGTGATCTTCATTTTGTCTGCCTTGTTGATTTGCGCGTTTGTTTGAAGGACACGTTCCCATACCGCACACACACAATCCCGCTACCTCCATTGCTGTAGTCGAAAGAGGGGGCAGGGTGTCCTGGGAGCGGCAGGGTTCTCAGCCATGGCTGCACCTGAGGAGAGGGGGGTCATGTCGGGCCCCTCCCATGAGGGCTTCCGGAGCCCTGACTCCTCAAACTCCATGCCAAGCTCACTGAGCTTCTTACTCACCCCTCCAAACAACTCAGCCCTAGGCGGCCTCTTCTCACAAGGGGCCCAGAGCTATTTTCCATCCTCCCCCCGGGATGATGCCAGCTTCACCTCCACCACACGACTTCACATTTCTCTCTCCAGATCAGGCCGGCCTGTCACCAGAGTCGCTTAGCTCTACCCCGACTCCCCGCCGGCGGTCTTCAGAGTCAACCTGCCCAGAAACAATATACCATATGTTTGTACTGTCATCACCTAGTTCTTCACTACGGGACCTTAGAGACTCTCCCGTGTCACCCAGCTACTCCCCCACCATCCCCAGGTTCCCGCGAGAGTCCACCCATCCTCCACAGGAAACACCTAGTAACTCACAGACCTCAGCGGGTTCCTCCCCAAGGTCTCCCATGTCCCCACCCCTTGTCCTCAGAGAATCTCCCGTGTCACCCAGCTACTCCCCCACCATCCCCAGGTTCCTGCGAGAATCCGCGCATCCCCCACAGGAAACACCTACAAACTCGCCAGGTTCCTCCCCAAGGTCTCCCATGACCCCACCCCTTGTCCTCAGAGAATCTCCCATGTCACCCAGCTACTCCCCCACCATCCCCAGGTTCCTGCAAGAATCCATGCATCCCCCACAAGAAACATCTAGTAACTCACAGACCTCACCGGGTTCCTCCCCAAGGTCTCCCATGACCCCACCCTTTGTCCTCAGAGACTCTCCCATGTCACCCAGCTACTCTCCCACCATCCCCAGGTTCCTGCGAGAGTCCGCCCATCCCCCACAGGAAACACCTACAAACTCGCCAGGTTCCTCCCCAAGGTCTCCCATGACCCCACCCTTTGTCCTCAGAGACTCTCCCGTGTCACCCAGCTACTCTCCCACCATCCCTAGGTTCCCGCGAGAGTCCGCCCATCCTCCACAGGAAACACCTACAAACTCGCCAGGTTCCTCCCCAAGGTCTCCCATGACCCCACCCTTTGTCCTCAGAGACTCTCCCGTGTCACCCAGCTACTCTCCCACCAACCCTAGGTTCCCGCGAGAGTCCGCCCATCCCCCACAGGAAGCACCGGGTAACTCGCAGACCTCAGGGTTTTACTCTCGCGTTTACATCGCGTTGTCCCCCAGACATCCTCCAGCGTTCCCATACTCGTCTTCTTTCACAGTCGGGCATACCCAGGGCCTCACGGCTACTGTCCATTGTCCTTTTACCCCAACACGTACAGGCCAAGGTAGGGGCCAACATGAACCAGGGTCTTGTTTACTTCTCCACGTCTCTGGTCATAGTCACACAACCAGCTGCAGGAGAGACCCTCCTGCGTCCGGCCCTCACCCACACCCCTGCCCTTCTACTTGCTATTGCCACACGCTCGCTCTCAGGAGAGACACTTCGAATGGCCGACTTCACCGCCCTGGCCATTGTCACCCCTCAGCGGTGCATCGTGAGCCTCCTGCCTGCCGACGACCCTGCTGCTGGCGACCACGCCAGCGCGACCCCCCAGCTTGCCTGCGTCCTTGTGGGCGACATTGCAGACGACGGTGACCCCATGTCTCCCCGGTGCTTCACTGCTAGAGGGACCCCCTAGCTTATATATGACCTTCTGGTAGAAAAAAAAGGTGATAAATAATCACCCTGTCCCTTCCCCCTTCAGACGACTTCTCAGCCTCCCAGTGTCTCGCCATTTGAAACCACCTCCCTCCGCATTCGGCTTTCCGCTGTCGGGCCGGGGGTCCTTCCACGCTCTGCTCTCCCCCTGCCCTGGCCCCTTTCCGATGTCGTCCATCACCGCCTCCGTGCCCGGCCCGAGGCTAGGCCTTTTCTCTCTATTCCAGGGAATAGAGGTCTCTGCGTGCCCGTCCCTCCGTCTCCGCTGTTCCTCTCTCTCCGTCCGCGTCTGCATCTCTACTCTCATCCTTTCTGTTCCCACACATCGTCTCTATGAATCTTCCTAAGTCCCCCTTTCTTCGTTTTATAGCCCTGTCTTCTCTTTTCTCACTCGCTACTGTCTCTTTCATCATTTTACTCCTGCCTTTCTACCCTTCCAGGGTCCCTTTCTCCTCCCTATCCTCTCTCCCTCCATTTTTCCTCCCATTTGTCACACACCCGTTTCGTGCCCCATCTCTTATAGTTTCCCATTCTTCTGTGGCCCCATTCTCTGAGTCCCACCCCTCGTTCCTTCTGTTAGCCCCATTATCTGATTCCCTTCCTGAAACCATGACCTTGAACCTTCCCAACCAACGTATATCTTTCTGCCTCTTTCCTTTCTTCTTCTTCATTTTTTTTTTTTGGTAGCAGCTTTATTTTTTTAAGATCTTTATTAAAATATAGCTAACGTACAGTACTGCATTAGTTTCGGATGTACACCATTGGTATTCGACATTTATATACCTAAAGTAGTGATCACCATGATAAGTCCAGACAGCAACCATCTGACACCGTCCGACGCTATCAAGCATTATTGACTAAACTCCTTACGCCGTACGCCACGAACCCATGACTTATTCATTTTATACTTGGAAATGTGAACCTCTTGTTCCACTTCATTTTTTTCTCCCCTTTAAAAAAATTTTAATTTCAATTTTCATTCAACATTATTTTATATTAGTTTCAGGTGTACGGCCTGGTTAGACAACATTTGTAGGATTTACGAAGCGATCCCCCTGACTAGTCTGGTACCGACCTGGCACTGCCAACCCCAAGCTCGTCTGCTCTGAGTACCAACCCTACTGTGCTCTACCCTGGATTCTTTCTGTCCCCCACCCCGAGCTTTACTCTCCACCCAACTTTCTGCCCTGTCTCCTTTATCCTCTCAGCTCTAGCTGTCTTTCCTGCTACACCCTCTCCCCACTGAAACCCCATATATAAATTACAGTTCATTGCTAAAATTCCTGAGGGTTAAAATCTCTATTATCCAGACCCTGGCTGATGCTCATATCACCACCATGGAATGAACGTGGAAGGGGTGGGGAAAGTAAAATTCTCTCTAAAAA